GAGAGAGAGAGAGAGAGAGAGAGAGAATCTCGTGGCAGTCCCTATCCACCCGAGCTAGGGGGGGGGAGCTTGTTAACGAGGGGACAGATTAGTGGCGAAGGAGACCCATGTGCGAGAGGAGTGGGGGAGACACAGAGATTTTGAGAGAATCAACTGGACGAACATCGGCCATGGAACGGACTGGGCGATCGTAAGATTGCTGCTTTGGGAGATGTATGAACGATTGCGATGGATGACAATCATGTTGTTTAACTTCGGCCAAAATTATTAGAATACGACTTCTTCTCTTTTTCACTTTGGTTGTCTCATACGTTGCGAATGGATCGACGTTGCGGATGTCAGAATTATGGCGATCGATGACAGTCACTCACGTTGTTTAATGTACGACTTCAATGCCTTGGTTTCGTTTATGACACTTTGGGCCTCGCCACACCAATGTCGAAACTCGAGTTTTCGACATTTTTTCTTCGCCACACAGACTGTCGAAGAAAAAATGTCGAAAATTTTACGACAATGGTCAGAAAGGTGGTTTCGACATGGGTGTCGAACGGCCCGCCTGCAGCGGGTCCAGTTTCGACATCACGGAGACGAGGTGGTGAAGGATGTGCTGATTTCGACATCTATGCCTCGAGATCCCGTGTCTTCTTCTTCCTTTTTTTTGTTTTTTTCTTCTTCTTTTTTTTTGTTTTTCTTCCCTTTTCTAGAAACGAAACTGCGGTGTGGCGAAGGCGGCCATTGTCTCGAAACGGTGAATGTCGAAAGTGGTCTGACAGTTGACAGTTGTCGAAAATTTCACCGTTTCGACATTGGTGTGGCGAGGCCCTTTATGTAACAAGTCCCGCCCGGGAGAAAGCCGTGTGTTTGTTCTCGTCTGAACGGGTCAAAAAGAGTGTGGGCCCCTCTAACAAATTTTCCCGCCATTATTCCACAACTCTCCCGCCATTTTATCCCGCCTTTTTGTTTCACGGCTGGCCTTATCGGCGTTAGCTGCCAGCCAGGGTGGAAAAATGACCTTACGGCTCGTTTGAGGGCCTCCGACTCTCTTATTAGGCTAGATGAACCACTCGCCATCCGCCAAGATTTTGAAGTCATCTGGACACGACGAATGTCCAGATATGCATTTAAATATCTTGGCGAATGGCGAGTGGTGCGACTGGGCCCTTGCTTCCCTCGTTTGCGGGCGAGCGAAGCTAGCGAATGCAAAGGTGTGGATGCGGGGTGACTTACATAACTTCACCCTTCTGGTTATGTGTGATTAGTGAGTGGCCCCCAGATTGTGGAATCTGGAAGTGACAGTGGGCACGCACGAGTTCCAATCCTGTGCAGAGATTATGAGGGCATCATTTCTCTCGTAGATCTCAGCCCCCGGATGAAATTCGAGCATGATCTTATTGGTGATATTGTACTTGCTCTTGTTTTTTTTTTTTTTTTTTTTTTTTGAATTTTAGTACTTGCTGTTTTGAATACTAAGCTTCTTCGGTGTTCTTCATTGTTTGTCAATTAAATAATTGAATAATTGAAATTGTCTGAGAAGCCGTGCTGATAGTCCGTTGTTACGAGGAGAGATCTTTCGTTTCTATATCCTCATGGTAAAAGCTGATGTACGCCGATCTGTTCTGCATCTGCATCTCGGGCCTCGCCGCAAATTTGCAAAAGGATAATGAACCTTCCGCTAGAACATGGAAAGATACCCCGCCGTAGTTCTTGTCTTTTGTGCATCTGGTGAGTGGTGCCACGAGGCCCATGGACGCAATAATAATTATAGTATGATTATACCCTGAATGGTCCGAGGTCGTTTCTATTCCAACGAAACTGAGCACGCTCGAAGCGATCAATGGCGGTAATCCTCTTCTTCTTCTTCTTTTTTTTTTTTTTCTTTTTTTTTTTCTTTTTTTTCCCTGTATTCATTTCTCCCCAAACAATGCAAGAAGTGCCGCAGGCCCCAAAATGACTGTTGGCATCATTTTTGCACCCTCTAAAACACTTTCCCGCAGTGCTGTCACCGTGAATGTGACCGGCCGGTCATATGGCCCTCTTCCTGTGAACGACCAGACCACAAAGTGCGGTGTTTATTTTTTTTATTTTTTTTTGGGGGGGGGGGCTCACCCAGCTACAGTCACCTCAAGCCTCACAGCGTCATGCCATTCAAAAAAATAAAAACAATTGAAATAACCTACAAAACAAGAAACAAAAATGCTTAGTTTGGCTGGTTGCATTTTTTTCTTTTTTTTATTTAAAAAATATTACTCGTAAAACAAATTGAAAATTTTATGGGGGTTTACCCTCCGATGACCCCCTCCCTCCTATGAAAAACAAAATCCCCCCAGCCAAAAAAAAAAAAAAAAACCCTTCCCCGCTCTGCGTGAACTCCCTTGAACTACCACCCGTCACTTTGTACGGCACTGCTTTCGCGCCATTTTTGCACAGGCCCAGCCAGGGTTCAGAAATGACACCAAAAGTCATTTTGGGACGGGCGTTACCGGCCCAGCCGGGGTTAAAAAATGACAAGATATATGGCTTAGAGCTTAGGGAGATTCTAATGTATGGACTCAAGAATTTGTGATCTCTGGAGTTACTACAGTAATGAAAGGTAAGGCTGTGGCCTACAAATTCCGTGCTTTAGCTTTCTGGATTCTCTGGCTAGCAAGTAGGGACAGAAGGTTCTGCTCCAAACCTACTTCTCAGGCTGTTATCAGGAACCTATTGGGTTCCCCTGCTAATATTAGCAGAACTAAGGAAGAAAAAGAGTCTCAAAATGTGGGAACAGCCCTTTAGGTGGGCAGGATCACTGGGTTCAGGCCAAGTGTATTTTTCCAGACTGCTGTGGGATGAACAATCTGTTATTTGAAAGTAAGTCCTTTTAGAATCAGCGACAGCCAGAAACCAAACCCTTGCGTTAAAAAGTTCGATCGGGGATAGTCAATAGACTGTCAAGAGGGGTACTCTTTTGTTCCGTACACAGACATTACTATCTGGCACGTGCGGACTCTGCCAGGACTTGCTCAAAGCCTATAGAACTATTCCTACGGAAAGGATGCTGGACCTGGTTTCCAGCCAGGAGTCTGTTCTTCTTTTCTGAGGACTCTGGACCTGTTTTCCAGATTGGCTACCCAAATAGGACGCTGGACCTGTTTTCCAGCAACCCGGGTAGAATTGTGAGGTCCCCGGCCTCTGGTTCAAGACATTTAATAATAAACACAGATCTGTTAAAAAAAAAAAAAAAAGACACCAAAAGTCATTTTAGGGCCTGTAAAATGAATACAAAGGTTTCATCGCCGGGAGTTTTTTTTTTTTTTTTTTTTTGCCCCCGGTGGTGGTAAGAGAACCACTGGAATTGAGGTTTGCCTGTCGGGCTGCTCCCTCTATTGGTGGGGATAGTCACCTGCTGGAAACCAGGTCCAGCGTCCCTCAGATACATCTTCTCGGCGCAATATTTGTTGGGACTGTGGCCCCCGCAGACCCGCCCCGGCCCCAACTGGCAAGCCCAACACCCCCACCGCTCCCGGAAGATACCCCGCCCCAGCTCCCTCCCCTCTCAATGGATCCTCCCCTTTCAGAAGAGCACCCTCCCCCAACACTGTCCTCCCCTCTCCTCCCTTCCTCCCCCGCCCTCATGCCCCTGTCCCACGCCCAATCCTCCCCTTCCGGAGGAACTCCCTCCCCTCTCACCCCCTCTCCTCCCACCCCTGGTTCTCAGGCGGTGCAGCTGCTACAGTCAAGACCTGGCCAGGACAGCACACTGTCCTGCAGCAACACCATATGGTACAAGGGTGGGAGGCACTGGGAGCAGACCCCACTGGAGGAACCGATAGAGAAATGTGAAGCAACATGGGCGCCCAGCAGGGGGCCAACTGACGCTGGCATGGACAAAGACTGACTGGCCAGCCACCATGACGAACAATTGCACAACGGGACATGAACACCTGCACAGTGTGTTCCCGGCACACTTCCAACTTACACCAACATAACGACAGTTTAAAACAAGACTGGTGGATGGGTAGTGGAAGCCCCTCCCACACACATAATACATACAGCGGTATGACAGGCCCTACACGGAGAAGGAAGAGAAAAGGAAACCGGGGAGTTGCAGACACCTGGGATTGAGCTTGGACTGACAAACTGAATGGGGATAGGAAAAGAGGATACAGTTGGCAATTTCCAAGGAGGGACTGGGTCAGTAGGCAGTTGGAGCTCTAGAAGTAGGAAGGGTGACCTGGCTAGGAAATGATAGGGCCACAGTCCCAACGCTGGGAGGTTTTATAACTTTGCCCCTTCTTCTTCTTCTTCTTCTTCTTCTTCTTCTTCTTCTTCTTCTTCTTCTTCTTCTTCTGCTTCTTCTTCTTCTTTTGATTCTTCTTCTTCCTTTTAACAGCAACAAGAAGGCAGCCAGCATCCTCCATATCTATCTTAAGTTTGAGTGTGTTCGGACGACAAGTTATGCACGAGTAATTTTGTTCTGCATTGCTATTCCCACGACAACATATGCGTGCGACTCGAGAGTGTTATTCCTGAGATTGTCTTCCTCTTGGATCATGTCTGTGGATCATTCTTGAAGAAAGAAGTCAAAAAAGAGATTCTGTCATCAATTGTAACACGAATTTCTGTGCCCGTGCGTGCAGCAGGAAGAGCCGAAATTGAAACCGACGGGGCGGACGACAAAGTAGCGGCAAGCAGCTAACTTTTTTTCCCTTTTTTTTTTTTTTTTTTTTTTTTTCGGTTTACAGAAAGAAACAAAAATCCAACAAGGAAGTCCGTTCATGGTTTGGAATTGAAGCCTTTGTGCTTTGTGATAGCTCGAGTAAGTCTTCGTTGTTTTTGTTTTTTCCCCCCTCAATGACAGTTTAGTTCGGCCCATAATCTCTGCACGTCTCTCATGATCTCTTTTCTTTCTTTTTTGCCCCCTTAAAGGCAACGGCCTCGGGATGTCTTCATTGGCCTGACCCGCCCTAGGTCATTCCGAGTGATGTAGTTCCATACATCTAGGTGAATCACGATTCGAACTCAGGTCTGCATTTCAACAGTTCAGTGGCGTACCAACTGACCTTGGCTCACCAGTGCTCATCACAGATTTCACGAGCATTCAAATCTGTTAGGTACTCACAAGGAAAGCCACGATGACAATGATGATGAGGATGTCGGTGATGATGATTATGATGATCAGGGCGAGAAGGGGGAGGAGGAGGAGGGAAGTAAGCCGCTGTGAAAGTGGACTATTTGGTATTTCGCAGTGGCTGCTCGCTGTCACAGCATTGGCCACATGGCACATTGAAGGCACCAACTTGAAGTGGGGCTTCATTACCATCCTTGCTGCTCCCTCCTCCTCCTCCTCCTCCTCCTCCCCCTCCCCCTCCCGCATAACGATTTCGTCCTCTTATCAGCCTTCATCCTCTTCGTCCTCAGCATTGGAGGAAGGTAGGGGCAGTGGCACTCCCATGACTCACATCTTCTCCTCGAAGATTCAGGAAGATGATGATCATCTGCATCGTTACTCTCCGGAGTCTCCGCACAATCCGTCGGACAAGGATCAGTACGTGGGTCAGCATCCTCATCGAGCAGATATGGCAGAGTTGCAGCGGCAACTGCTGCAACTCGCTACCAGTAACGAAAGTGTACCTGGTAATCAGTCTCATGACCTTTATCCCTGGCCTGAGGAGTTGGCACGTGAAATCTTTGATGAGAATCTGTTGAGCGTGCCTCGAGGAGATCCGATAAGCTTTGAAAACGCTGTCACAAGCGATGCACACTTCAGTGCAACGAGCCTGCCAGACTCCGATGTGTGCGCCCTCTCCTTCTCACCTGCGGACCGGTCGTTGTTTTTCTCCATGAACCTTGGGTTATGGAAGTTCGACCTGAACTATGGTAATGCTTCGCTAGTAGCGGGTCGTTGGCTCCCTCCTGTGCTCCCGGCGTCGGCTACCATAGCCTTCGCGATACTTGAATCACAGAACACAGCATCCTTGAATAGGATTGCGATTGTGGCGGAACCCTTCAACCTCTCTCTGCATGCCTACAATGTAGACGACAGTTCGGTTCCTCCTCCATTCTCAGCTGTACGTTACATTCCAGCTGCTGGCGATAAGTGATTACTCAGTTTGGCTTGTGACTCGAGCCGTCGCATCCTGTACGCATCGACAGGCAATGTGATATACCGCATGCACCTTTCAGTGAGTGATAGGCCAGGCTGGAATGCCGTGCTTGAGAGGTGGATAGGTCCTGATTCGAGTTTAGTTGCTCTTCCAGATGACAGCAGTATTCCTCGGGCCAAGAGATTTCCGGAACCCTGGCTCAGCTCGTCCGCCATATCTTCTGATGGAGAGCTCTTGTACGTGGCCTTTGCCAGGATTTCAGCAATCGGACGGGTGAGGACGGCCTCTGGAGCCGTGGAGATACTTGCCAAAACAGGCTCGCCCGAAGGTGGGGATTTTATTGAGCCCGTAGGGATCGCTTTAACGTCGGACGGATGCCATTTATTTGTCTCGGAGATTGGCGGACGACTGCACCTTGTCTCGTTGGCATACAGAGGTGGCCCTGTTGTCTCAGTTCGAACCATGGCCAGGTCACGTCGTCCAGACGGGACAGGCAGTCGCTCTATGAGCGTCTTGGCCCTTTCGCCCGACGACGAGTTCCTTTATGTTGGAAGAGATGGCTACCAGATTTGGGAGCTTGCAATCAATAAATCGGCCCTGCCTCCTTGTGAGTCTCCGCCTCCTCTTTCAAATCCTCCTTCAGCTCCTCCGTCTCAGTCTTATCCCTGGCCTGAGGAGTTGGCGCGTGAAATCCTTGATGAGAATCTGTTGAGCGTGCCTCGAGGTGGTCCGATTAGCTTTGAAAACGCTGTCACAAGCGATGAACACTTTAGTGCAAGGAGCCTGCCAGACTCCGACGTGTGGGCCCTTTCATTCTGACCTGCGGACCGGTCGTTGTTCTTCCTCACGAACTATGGGTTATGGAAGTTCGACCTCAACAACAGTTATGCTTCGCTAGTAGCGGGCCGTTGGCTTCCTCCTATCCTCCCGCCTTCGGTTACTCCTCCAGTAGCCCTTGCAATGCTGTACCAGGGAATGCAATCACAGAATAGGATTGCGATGGTGGCGGAACCCTTCAACCTCTCTCTGCATGCCTACAGTGTAGACGACAGTTCGGTTCCTCCTCCATTCTCAGCTGTACGTTACATCCCAGCCTCTGGCGATAGCCGATTACTCAGTTTGGCTTGTGACTCGAACCGTCGCATCTTGTACGCATCGACAGGCAATGTGATATACCGCATGAACCTTTCAGTGAGCGATGGCTGGAATGTCGTGCCAGTGCTTGAGAGGTGGATAGGTCCTGATCCGAGTTTAGTTGCTCTTCCAGATAGCAGCAGTATTCCTAGGGCAAAGAGATTCCCAGATCCCTGGCTCAGCTCGTCCGCCCTATCTTCTGATGGAGAGCTATTGTACGTGGCCTTTGCCAGGATTTCAGCGATCGGACGGGTGAGAACGGCCTCTGGAGCCGTGGAGATACTTGCCAAAACAGGCTCGCCAGAAGGTGCAGATTTTATTGAGCCCATAGGGATCGGCTTAACGTCGGATGGAGGCCATTTATTTGTCTCAGAGATTGGCGGACGACTGCACCTTGTGTCGTTGGCATACAGTGGTGGCCCTGTCGTCTCAGTTCGAACCGTGGCCAGGTCACATCGTGCAGACGGAAGAGGCAGTCGCTCAATGAGGGTTTTGGCCCTCTCGCCTGACGACGAGTCGCTTTACATAGGGAGAGATGTCTACCAGATTTGGGAGCTTGCAATCAATAAATCGTCCAACCCTGGTAAGTCTTCTCGTCCTTCGGCGCCTCTTCCAGTTTCTCCTTCAGCTCCTCCTCTTTCAGTTTCTCCTTCAGCGCCTTCTCTTTCAGTTTCTCCCTCACCTCCTCCTCTTTCATTTTCTCCTTCTCCTCCTCCTGTTTCAGTTTCTTTTTCAGTGCCTCTTCTTTCAGTTTCTCCCTCAGCTCCTCCTACATCTCCAACTTCATCTTCATCTCTTGCTTCAGTAGGTGTTGCCGTTGGTGTTGCGGTGTCTGTCTTTGTCTTTCTAGCCTGCTCTGCTGCCATGCTCATGGAGAGCAAATCGCACTGCTTGCGATCCCGGTTCTGGCAGCATGAACAACGAGGCAAGAGCTCGGGATTTCCAAATGCCCTTGAACCCGTCGCACAACCCAGGAGCTCCGGACTGCCAAATGCCTTGGAACCTGTACCGCAACCCAGGACCTCGGGGGGAGTGCAAAATGCCAAGGCACCTGTACCACAACCCAGAAGCTCGGGACTGCCAAATGCCCTGGAACCTGTTTCACCCTGGAATCAGTTTCACTGAGGATCTACTTTGGATGCGGCAGTCGGAAAGGTCAGCAGCAGCATTCGACTGGAAAAGTGGCGCAGCTGTGGTACAACTTACCCTGGTAAAACTGTACTCATTACTAGAGATCCGAGAAGTGTGTAATGGCTTAAGCGCAGCAGAAATGGTGAGTAGGGGGGGGAAGGCAGCTGACCTGTACAGGGGACAGCTCGGCAGTCATGGGCAGTGGGCAAGTTGTAGCCGTCAAGATGATGAAGGGCCACAATGACTTCTCCGAGGCCAAGTTCCGGCACTTCTGAACGGAGCTCGCCGTGCTTCGCCAAAGTCAGCTCTGCAGCTCGATTGGCTACTGTGCAGGCAGAGGGGTGGGGAGTCCTTGATCATCTACTCCCCTGTCTGCGGGGGGATGGACGCTTTACAATCGGTCGCACTGGTGACCAACCATTCCCACAGGCGCCACTCCTGAGCATGGCCTCATCAATGAAGAAGTGGGCGGTCGATTGTCTGGACAACACCCGATGACCCGGGCAATGAGGGGGCTGTCGCCAATGAACATCTCGAGCATTGGGCGAGAAAGCGTGCAAGAGGAACTAGCAGCTCTGGCTCCTCCAGTATGTTTCGGATTTTTTCACTGAGCTGGCCAGATGGAGTCGCCATTGCCAGGCAGGGCTGTAGAGCAGTGCACATCTTCACGCAGAAGGATAGAGTCGCCATTGCCTGCAGGTCAGAGACCTGCAGGTGGTTGATATGGACATCAAGAGCAATAACGTGCTGCTGAAGGATGGACCCACTGTGGGAGAGGTAGGAGAGGACAGAGTATATTATAGAATTGGGCAGTGAGGGCTTGTTTGTCAGGCTTCGAGCTGCCGAGGCAGGGACTCGGCATTTCTGGTCAATTGCATGAGGCCAGGCGGTGAAGGCGTTCTACGTGGCAGGGACACTCGGGTACATGATAACGCCGGTCACTGGGCTGTCCAAGCTTTCACACACTCGCTTTGAGTGTAGGTCAGTTGCTCGACGACACAAGGAGGATTGAAGGCGGTACTGCTGGTGCTGGAGGAGTCAGGGAAGCAGCATGTACTAAGCCATAGTCATACTTGGGAGCGCTTTGCTCCAGTCTTGGGCTGGTGCTGAGGCTGTGGGACCATCCTGTGGGACCATCCTGTGGTACCAGGACCCTGTCCAAAGCCGGGGAAGGCTACACCTGGGCAAGCTTTTTTCCCTGGTGCCAAGTTTATATTTTGGTCATTGTAATGAGAGGTGCTGTCCATTTGACAGCAGCAGACGACCGTGCCGCTGGTTTTGTTTTGGAGGCGGTACTCGGCATTCTAGGCCTGGTTTTGGTGCCTTGGCCAGCTTCTATTATTCTGAGTCAGGATTTGGCCTGACAGCTTGTGACAAGTTGTGACAATACAGTTTTGCAGCACTGGTTACGTTTTTTATGGTCTACGACTCTACGGCATACAACAGGTCAGAGATGTTTTTTTTTTGTTTTCCTTGTGACGAACACATGGCAGGCACCTTGGGTAAGTTCAGTTGTGACACAAACGAGTTCGAAAACGGCAACAAACTTACAAAATCACACGCGGGCTGAAACTGAAAATGTGACAAATAATTGAAACTTGGTTTTGGTCTGCAGCAGACGACAATGAGGTTATTATTTTTTCTTAACAATGTGCATTGTGCACGTTACAGGTGATCACCCCCCCTAGTGACCCTGCCCCTGTATTTTGAAGAAAAAGATTAAAAAAATACAGGTGAAACTTTGGATGTTCAGGTGGTTAGGTCAACTTTGTTGCTACGCATACTATAACTCTCATTAGGCGTGGGGTTTCATGATTGCTTAGATCGCTAGTGACAACGTGTCCGAAGCTGTTCGCACTGAAGGGCAGTCAATCCCCTCATATGCGGGCAATCAATGCTGCTCCTCATCTGCATGGTATAACTTCCTCCGATTTCGTATTTCGGACCCGGTTTCCAGCTGGTGCAGCTCCCCAGCAATAGAGTGGAGCCATCTACAACAGGCATCCAGACAGAACAAGACGGGCATTCGGACCGGCCCGAACAAGATGGGCCGGACGCTTGAACTGTCGGGACCCCCGCCACCGCACATTCGGCCGAAAGTGGACCTTTTTTCTCTTGTCTTTTCACTTTTTTTTTTGTTTTATTTTTGAGGGCAGGGGGGTGGCAGGAGAGGAGTTCTTTAATCTACTAAACTAGCTTAGCGCCCGAGGTGCGGCCAGTGCGGGCAATGCCCGCATAAATGGAAAAAAAATGGAAAACATCACACAGACTGCTGATACAGACTCAAACAGAGGGGGCATGGTCCCATTAGCAGTAGGATAGGAGTGTGACCGATCCAGTGTGACACTGAGTGGCAGCGGCCTGACAGGTTCATTACGAATTTCTGGGCTGAGAAAACAGGTGAAAGGCAAAAAAAAAAAAAAAGAAACAGAGACCTCCCACCGGAAATCACGGCAGTGAGCTTCCCAGCCATCAGATCACAAATGATCTGGTGGTGGTGGTTGCAACAACAGTGAGACCTCCCACCGGAAATCACGGCAGTGAGCTTCCCAGCCATCAGATCACCAATGATCTGGTGGTGGTGGTTGCAACAACAGTGAACACAGTAACTGCCACAGTTTTTTCTGGAATAAACTCGACTTCTGTCAGCAGTGATCATGACACCCTCCATATACTCCGTGACCCAATGAGATAATTGCACAACAGCAAGCAAAATACTGAAAATCTTCTATCCAGTGGGCCTATGGCCGACCCGACTATCTTTTGGGGTTGGCCATACACCCAACGGATTGAAAATATTTGGCGGCAAGCTTCCTTTGAACCGGCGTGCCCTGTGTTAAGGAGAGGAGGAGGGGAACAAAGATCTCTTTACTTTTTCGGGTAATACATGTAAAATACTCATCGTGGATCACGAGTACTGCACGGCAGGTCTTGGGTCACTCAAACTGCCAAACACTCTTTTCTATCCTATCCCCTTGCTAGTGGGACCATGCCCACGGACGAACTCAAAATGGACTCACATATTTATATATACACATATATGTGTGATTACACTGTCAAAAAGTCATATAGAGCCCTGCGCCCGGAGCAACCAATCAACAGCACGCTAACAGAAAGGTGGGCCCGGGACTCTCCCTTGGACCCAGATCTACTGAAAGACCTACCATGGCCCAACTATGCAAAGATCAAGCCTACAAATCTCAGGTCGCTACGGTGGCAGATCCTCCACCGGTGTCTGCCGACACCGGACTGGCTGGTATCCAGAACTGACCTGGAACAGAAGGGCCAATCATCCCCCATCTGCTCTTACTGTGGGAGATCATCACAACCCGCCCGGGCAACACTCAAGCACTGCCTACTAGCATGCCCGATGGTTACACAGCTATGGCAGTGGTGGGATGCAGCATTCCACTCCTTGACATCGGTCCATATCCCATGGGATCTGGGCCTACTCCTAATCACCAAGAATCAACATTTGCTGGCCCAATGGTCTCCGTTTGCAGTCCACCTCTTCACCTACACAAGACTGCATGTCCTCTTGCTGGCCTGGCGAGCGGGATGCTCCATCGAATGGAAAGATCATCAGCTCAGCCTACAGCAGGCTCAGCAAGCGTTTGTGACGCGCAATCTCACGCCCTGTGCTGTCCTTCGTTCGGAGTGTAAGGACTGCGGAAAGGGGGCCCTGAAAGATCAGCAAGATGGGTTGTGCCAAGGATTTTTGGAAAATTGAGTGTGGGGACACAGACAGAACTGAGATCCCCCGTGTTGGTCTGACGTAGTAAGAAAGGAGGTCGGCCCCCGCGTGGGTTTTAGGGAAGAAAAAGGCGCGCGCGGGATTTACGGCACGGGGAAATTAAATCCAAAAAGTATCATTGAACTTCCCATCGGGCCGTTGCTCTTTATTTCGCGTGAAAGGGAGCGGGTACGTACTTGGTATCCCGTTTCCGGATCAAGTCCCGACGTCGCTCATTACATAACTCTGAATCCGACGTGGAAGGTCTCAGCCGCATGGCTCGTTCCTTATGTTCGTCCTCACTCTGTACTCAGTAGTGAAAGCCCTTTGATCGCAACGCTCGAGGCGACGACAATCGCTGCATAGAGTGTTAGGCCAATGGGGTGCCACTGCCGACCACGGGATGACGATCAATTCGTTGAATGGCAACAGCAGTGAGTAAGCCGGAAAATGTGTATCGACAATGACAAAACCAGCACCGACAAACGCCAAGCACCGAGTTTAAGGAGGGAAATAGTATAGCCCGCCGATCTTGGCGACGACTTCCCATACGTCCCACTCGCATACACGTGTCCTTTTCTCGTTGTACGGAAAGGGGCGCGGTGGGAATACGGGAGGCTGGCGCCCAGTCGGGTTGAGGTCGTCAGTCCACATGGCAATCCAATCAGACACAAAGGCTCAATCATCGTTAGTCCGACAGCCGCAATAATCGGAAATACCGAGTCTGTCAATAGTATGATTACATATTACACGATAACCCTTTTTAAATATCATCCACATATGTCAGACGAATCGAAATCAAAGATGATTCAGAGAGAGAAAATGTTCACCACGATCTTGCCAAAGGCACTCATAAGGAAACTGGAAGGACAAAACTCGTACTTGGCGAGATGCGACAATCGATCTACGGGTGCAGGTTGCCCGCGCGGCGTCTTTGTCTTCCTAAGAAGATAGACCGCCTCTCGGTTTTTTCACTTTTAATCGAGGGTAAGCTGCAGATATCGTGCAGCATGGTGCGCAGTGTATTCCGGGTTAAAGATCCCGGGGTACTCTCCCGTCATCACATCCCCGACAGATCTAAACACTCTTGCATTCTCGAACCAAATCCAGACAACACTGTCACGGTTAACGACTTAACCGTGTCCATGCATTCCATTTGTAGCAATCCTTCGGCCTAATCAAAGACCAATCCATGAAATAATGGTTTTAACATCCGAGTACTTCCACCTATACTCACGGTCACCTACCGCGGAAGGTGCGAATATGGCAGTCATGCATCATTCAGTTCTCCGTGTGTTCTGCACCCCTGCCCCGTCATTCCAGGGTTATTCAAGCGCAAATAAATCAGACAATCATTTCATTTCTCAGAAGATCAACTGGCATACATAGTCATTCATGCCATAAAGTAGGTGGGTAGAAAAAATGCAAACCACGATAGAGAAAGATTACACAAAGAAATCCTAAGAGGAAAAGAATGTCCGGCTTAACTGCCGTCGAACTGCACTCACACCAAAGAATAGATTCGAACCAAGAAAGCGCATCCGCCGTGAAGTTCCACTATGGCCCCAAACCATTCATCCACCCAACTCTGATCACTATCCTCATATCTGCACCGACGATCCCAGCCATCGCGTGTCGCCTTCCACCTCTGCGATCGTCACCCCGCCGACTTAGTTCTTGCACCGGCTTGCCCCGATCCCACAGTCCGTCGTGGTGATCAAGCGCTCAGCCAGCCAGTCTACAGTCAGCCCGTCACGACTTTTCGACTCGCACAACACACACACCATCTAGCCACTGCTTCCCAGAAGTT